TTGCCACAGTTCGAAAAGTTCCTAATGCTGACTTTTTTCGAAAAATGATCATTGCCGTCCGTCACACTGCCACATGACTATATGTATGTACGTCCGTCACACTGCCACATGACTATATGTATGTACGTCCATCACACCGACACATGATCACCTGTATGTACGTCCGTCACACTACCACATGACTGTATGTATGTACGTCCGTCACACCGACACATGATCACCTGTATGTACGTCTGTCACACTGCCACATGATCATATGTATGTACGTCTAACTTTCGGATTTTGACCTATATCCGTAGTTTCATTTCATTCTTATAAAAAAAATATAAGTCTCACATTATTTAGTTTTGTTTTCACAGTCTAGCTATTATGCCTAACGCCTGTTTAGTATTATTTATCTATTGATGGCCATTACAAAGTGCTATGAACGCTAAAATAGCGAAAAGGCTAGGATATAGGTCAAAATCCGAAAGTTAGCGTATTTTGGTAGTAAAGTTTTCGGGAAATCTCCTAGAAAACCTTGCTTACGTGATACTCAAACGTCAGCAAGTATCTAGTTTTGTTCAGCGTTCATTTTTGCATCGACTGACATTTAAAAGAAAATTTTTCTGCGCATTTTCTCGATTTTGTAAAAATTTCAATAGCTGAAACGTGGGACTTTGAAAGGTTTTGAGAATACATTCCCTCTTAATGATCCGCTTGACCTTTCTCAAACCCCTACGTTTCTTTAGAATTTAATTCTCTATTTAATGGCGTTTGAACGAAGTTTCTATGGTTCATCGTTGAGGAGTTATTTGAAATTTAAAAAAAGTGAAAAATTTAAACTTTAAATTTTATTTCAAAAGTTTAAATTTTGAATTAGAACCTCGAATTTCTTTTTAAAATGACCGTCATTTCACGCTGATTCCGAATCTGTATTGTAAAGTGAATTTTGGTCGCTGCGTTTTTTCAGAAAGTCGTTTTTCTCAAAGCCGATAGACCAAAAACCACGGTTTTCTAGAAACCGTATTTCTGAAGGTCCTAGAAAAAACGTCCAAGAGACAAAAAGAAAGAGCATCGTTTCAAACTCTTAAGTTCCAAAAGAAAAGTTCGTAGCTTGTGCACTGACGGAGATAGCCTGGACCAACATTCCAATGTTACACGTCTATTTAATAAAATAAACTTTCAAATACTATACGTAAGTTAATGTATGACAAATATTTGGCACTCTTCTGTAGTTCAGACTGAATAAAATCTTTTTTCCATATCTAGACCGAAGGACGGCGTTTAACGGTTTTTGATCCCAATGATCTCTCGAAACAGTAGTCGCAGTCCTCAAGCTCGCAAGAAAGATCAGTGGTGCTGTAGCCATCTCGGGAGTGGAAGGAGTGATCATCTATTTAAAATATAACTTGCACATAAAACAATTGAAAAGAAAAACTTTGTTGATGTTATTTCTCGGCTAATTACATTTTTCCCAAACTATTTATGGCATATAGCTGCCATACGGGTTATAACCGTATCCTCCACCCATTGTATTCATCATTTGTTGAGCAGTTGGATTTGGATTACCACCCATCATCTGATCCATTATTTGGCCAACGGGACCTAGTGAACACAGAAAATGGATGAATTACTCTTTAAAAAAGTCACTTTTTAATAGATTCAGATGATGTAACCCGGATGGCCTCTGAAAACTGACGTTCGACAATGGCATTTTATTCTTCTTACTGTAAATAGTAATTGTAATGTCGGTTTCTCATCTTAACTCAACTTTGGCTTATGTAGATAGTCTAGTGGTTTTCGATAACTATTGGTTCATTTGAAGAACTTCAGCTCTGTGCTCTAAGAGAAATAAATAGAAAGTTGACTACTTCATAAGAAAAAGTTTTACTTTTAGCACTCGCCGTGATTTCAGCTGCTAGGTTATTGGACACTGCAAGTAATGTTCGAACATTTTCTCTGTACTGCAACTTGATGATGCTTGGCCCTCCTGCTGCATACTGCCAGCAATGTTTGCTTTATTCAAAACTTCTCAAACACGTAGAATAATTTTAAAACATCGAAAACGAGTTACTTGTCGATTTTCCAACTAAATCGTTCAGTTCCTCCTCATTTTTTCAGTCTAAGCTACCGAACGGTTAGGATTTCGTGTGAAAAACGTCCATCATTATTAGCGAACGCTCATAGCTGCCTGTCTGCCCAACCAGTACAATGAGATAGAAAGTAAGCTTCTTTTTTCCAGATATATCAATGCAAAAAGTTCTTTAAGTGACCTAATAGTTCCTGAAAATGACTTGAAATGTAACTTTTTCTACGGTAACGCTTAATGTGTCAAAATCCGCGAAGGAACGACTTGAAAGTCTATTATTTTTCGTTTTTCATATTGAGGGATACAGAAACAAAATCTCGTTTATCAAAACCAATTTTTGAGGTAAGTCGCCGAACGACCTGCCAGAATAAATCACAACTGAGTTTACGACTGATTACTTACTGTTCACTCCTCCTGGCACGGTAGCATTGATATATGCATCTGAAGCAGCTTCCTGCACTGCTGCATTATAAATAGCGTTGGTATTGTAACCACCATAGCCACCATAGCCTCCACCGTACATTTTTTCTTGTTTTCTAAAAGAGTTCGGTTGAAGATAAATAAATGAATGAATGTTGAATAAACAGTGCTATATGCTCATTTTTATAGGTTTAGTTTATTACCTACGCACTATCTAGTCAAATTATTCAGCTATGACGAGTTACCACCTCATATTCGAGAAAAATGTTTGTTTCTACTATGATACAAGGTGAATAGCAAACATGCGTGATAAGGAGTGGTAGATGAAGGACACAGTTTGTGTTGCTGATACGAAGGAAATCAAAATGAAAACGAAAACGGGAAAAAGAAACTGGAATAGTTTAAACTTTTTACATATGTTGTAGTAGAAAGTGGATTAACTATAACCTGAAAATAAAATTTTTTGGGCCTAAATTGATCCATCCCATATTGAAAATATGATGGCGGTTTTTGCAAGTTGTACCATACCTGATTCGATCCGAGATTTAACGGAGATAACAGATCTAACCTTATTTTTGCTAAAATCGTATCTCAGAGGAGAAAATCACAAACCAACTACGTGCTTGGTCTCTCGAGACTTGAACCTTTTGAAATCAGCAATGAGACACGCTCTGAATTTGTCTAAGAGATCAAATTGGTAGAGTTCTCGATGTTTTTCACATCTATCATTCAGTGTTTCTGAGAGATGAAGAACGATAACTGGCACGTTGAGAGATACAACAACCTGATAACTAGACAGTTTTCGTTCTTAGAAAGTACATAATAAATTCGTACAATATAAGTTAGTCTGATTGATTCTGTCATAGTATAAGTTCCATGGCTGTGTTCAGACTGTTGACTAAATCATGATTCAATCTTTCGTCTAATTACTAGTCTATCCATTATTACAAGTAAAACTACAACTTTTCTTCATTTTCAAATAAAGTTTATACCAACTACAACTCGGCAGCTGAAGGCTGAATGGAGGAAAGATGTCAGGTGGCTATACATTCTAGTGCAAACTATTATTGTTATTCTAATGGGTTTAGTTTTATTAGCTGTTCTATGTGAACGTCGAAAGTGAAGGGTGTTACTGAAGATTTCATCCGAAGCTCCGAGTTCCAAAATATGAATAGAAAAGTAAAAAACTACTTTCTTCGTAAAGACGAGATATTTATACCACAAGCACCATTGGATACTCTCTATCCACTCTCGTATTTTGATCTTGTTTATCCCGATCTTTCATCCTAAAAATCCGGATTTCTAAAGACTTTTCAGGTGTTCTGTCTGTGCGGCGTCCCCCTCAAACATGTCCGAGGAGGAAAATATGGAAAGTATCTTATCTAATGTTTACCAAAGGCTTCAAGAATTCTAAGT